CATTGATACATTACATATAAATTATTATTATTATTATTATTATTATTATTATTATTATTATTATTATTATTATTATTATTATTTTTATTATTATTTTTATTATTATTTTTATTATTATTTTTATTATTATTTTTATTATTATTTTTATTATTATTATTATTATTATTATTATTTTTATTATTATTTTTATTATTTTTATTATTCAATAAGTTATCATTTTTAAGTCATTTAGTGGTTCTCTTATATTGTTATTCATAAAAATAATTATTAATAGAAATGAGTACTTTAAAATAATAAAATTATTTGATGGTTCGTTTCATGAATAATTATTTTATTGTAATAATTTTAATTATGCAATTATAAACAATTAACACTGTCAATCTATCAAAACAAAATCAACTAATTTATTCTTTTAATAATAAGTAATAACTCGTCATTGTTTCATTCATTTGATATCATTGTATTAAATAATTTTTTGTAATAACCCATTTATTTAAATACTTTTTTTTATTAAGAAGTCATTAACTCGAATTAAAAAGTTATAGAAATCATTGGACAAGTATTATCCAATTTATTCATTATTTATGAGAGTTATTATAAATATTCGCATTTCAATTAATGATTGTTATATTATTTTTTATAATATCCTTTCATTCTTTGTTTTTTTTTTTGTATCCTTTTTGTTTCTTCTATTTCATATTTTCTTTATTTCATACTCTTTATTCATATTGGTTTATTCATTGTACTGTGATTGAAGTTATATATATTTTCTTAATCATTGTTGTTGATTACTTATTTTATTTCATAGTCACTGGATATTATTTTTCAACTTTTATTTTTAATTTTTCATATTCTAAAGTTTCATATATTAATATCATTTATATCATTAATTATAATAATTATTATTTTTGGTTTCTTTGTTTATTTATTCTTTTATGTTATAAGAGTATAGAAGATAGTAAAATTATTTAATTGTCATAAATATTTCATTTTATTAATATTTCTTTTAATCTGGTCATATTAATCATTCTATTATTAACATTTTTTCATATTGAATATAAATAATTAATGAAATAAATGAATAGATTACAAATAAGTGATAGAACACGAATTGATATGAGATAAATGTTTTAATATTTATTACTATGATCAGTTATTAATGAGTTAATCCCTTCGAATTATAATTTAGTATAATGTAGAGTATTTAGAATGTAATGATAGTTATGTTTTGATTACCTTACAATTTGAAATTATAGGAAGATTTAAATAAGGTATTGAAACAATAATCAAAGATACAAAACTGTTAGTGGTTGGTTTATTCATTTGGCTATATCAGTATGTCAGAAAATAATATATTAAAGAAATTTTAACAAAAAAATTTGATATTTATAAAAATAACATGAGAATGTTCTTGTAATCTTTTTTTTTTACAAAACAACAAAAATTCAGTTTAAATATAGATTGAGGAAATATCATAAAAATACCTAATAAGATGAACTAAAAAATAAATAATTGAACTATTTAATGGAAGTCGCGAAATCCTTAAATTATAAAAGAAGAGAAATGAAACAACTTGAAACGGTTTACTTAATGAAAGTAGTGCTTCATGTTAAAGACATGAACGATATTCAAAACATTGAAATGGTTAATAAAAAATGTAGGACTGCAATTAATTCATTGAAAGTTAATCCTTGGTTTACATCAGAAAGAGATGTCAATAAGTTTTGTAAAATATTTAATCCACAAACATGTAATTGTAATTTACTTGATATTGACGCATCAACACTAATGAAAGCTGAAAATCTTAGAAACTATAATTTATGTCATTTGGATGCTTTAATAAAAAGACATACTAAAAACATTCAGCCTGGTCAAGAACAAGCACAAATAAACAAAATAAAAAAGTTCATAGCTACTGGTATTCAAAAAATGGAATCTTTAACATGTGTTTCTTTTCTTCCAGAACAACTAATAGAAGTTGTTATTCAAAATATGAAGAAAGGAATTAAAATAAGATGTGACGAGATGTTTGCAGAGCGATTTGATGAAATGTTTGATAAAATGAAAATGGATGAGTCAATGTATCCAAGTGAAATGATAATTCAAGGAAATGTAACTAGAAATTGGATTAAAAATGGGAAGAAGAAAAATGTCATTATTATTTTTGAGTTTTCACTACTTGATAACGTACTTATGGATATACCAAAATGGGTTAAAGTATATTCGTCAGAAATTGTTATTTCCAAATCAAATGACAAAAGAGATGTTATACCTTTTAGTTCACCAATTGATTCATTGTTTTCAAATGTGGTATTACCAAAATTAGAAGAATCAGACAATACTATGCCTGGTGTTAAAGTAACTAAAAACGATATCATGGAAGAAGAAAGTAGAGAAAAGGTCTATAAGATTCTCAATGACTTATACTCTAATGCTATTACGTTTTATTTTACACCAACAGAATTAGTGGAACAAAACCAAAAACGTCTTATACCAATTGAAATACCACAGTTACCAGAATTTGTAAAACATTTTTCCATAAAAGCAATATATTCAAAGTTCATAATTAATAATAAACAATTAGAGTATTTAGAAGTAGATGGACAACAGTCTTCTGTTGAACTTCAATCAACAAGTAATTTGAAGTCTTTGAAACTTAGTCTAATTAATGAAATAAAAATAAAAGAACCGAATGAACAACAAGCAATGTCAAATAATAAAAGAAGATATTGGAAAGAAATAAAAGAAATTGAAAATACATTCCCAAATCTTGAAGAACTTAAACTAGAACGATGTTTTAATTTGGATATAAATATACCATCAAAGAAGTTAAAAAGTATTGAAATGATTGACTCTAGAGAATGTAAAATTAATGTTAAATCAGATTGTATTGAAACATTGAAATTACTAAGAAACAACCAAACACAAATCAAATTATCAACAAATAAATCAACTGATATTAATATTAAAATTTGTTCTATGATTAAGTTAGAGATAGAATCGCGGAATAAGCAAAACATTGAAATAATAGAAGGAAATCAAATTAGTGTAGAGTCAAAATGTCCAATTAATAAATTATTAATAGCACGATCTAAACAAGTGAATATTACAGGAGATGAAAGATGTAATACACTGAAAGTAGTTGATTCTACAATCAAGGAAATTGATATTAAACCAAAAAGGGTTGTATTTAAATCAATTGAAGAATACATTAAAGTACCACTGAAAGACGCAGAAGAGATATACATTGTATCAATGAAAGATTACATCTTTGAAGAGTTATTTGATAAATGTAAGAAATTATGTATTGATGAATGTGAGAATTGTCAATTCATAATCAACAAGAATCAAATTAACGAAATGAAAATAACAAACTGTAAAAATACCGAAATTAAAGGAGAGTTAGATAATATTGAAGAAATCATCACAATAGATAATGAAGAATGTAATATTCCAGAAACAAAGAATATTATAAAAGAAGATACAGAAATAATAGAAATGAATAATACAAAAAAAGATATAGAAATAGAAACAGATAAGAAACATATTATAATAAGAAATATTCATGACAGTAATATTAAAATTAAAAGTGATATTAATAGTGATGTCACAATAGAAAATGGTGAAGAAATTATGTTTTATGGAGAGTTTGAACATTATGGAAATGTTCAATTCATTAATTGTCAGAACAGTGCTAACATATTGAATGTTGGATTTGTTAAATCATTATTAATTACCAACTGTGAAAGTATTGATTTTAGTGTCAATAGAATTAAAGGGTTATTAGAAGTTGTTGACAGTTATGTAGGTATTGGGGTATCAACAATGGACAATAGTGTAAACATTGACACAGTACATATTAAAAATTCTGAATTACTTCAATGCATTTATATAATTTGTAAAAAACTAATAATAAATAATAGTGCTGGAATTATAGAACCAGCCATTTCACAATGTCAAGAAGAACTTACATTGAAAAGTATAAAAAATAAAAAGTTTAGATTAACTGAACAATTGAAGAAAATTGAAATGGAAAAATGTAGTAAACTCAATATTGAGAGTGACGTTAAAGGAAAAGAAGTTAAAATGGTCAAATGTCATCAGATGAAGATAGTTGATACTTCAAATTCAATCAACCAAATTGAGTGTAATAATGTTGAAGTAATAACAGAGCAACAAAATGAAATGATGGGAGGATTTGGAATGATGAGAGGATTTGGAGGAGGTAATATGCCAATGGAAAGACCTCTTTGAGGAGACCTAAACTTTGCATAAGGTTAGTTGGTTAATTAAAAATAATTAACAAAAATAACTTGATAAGTTTTTGATGAATTTTATGTTTAAAAACAAAAGAAATGAACATTAAATAATAAAAACAAATTTATTATTTTCACCTTCAGAATTAATATATTTTGTATTACTGTCTTATTGTATTATTCATCTTATTTTATCTTATGTTTATTGACTAGTTATTCAAACTGATTATACTATTCTTCCAGACACCAATTATCTTATTAATATTCAAGAGTACACTTGTTGTGCTATTTGATATATTGTATTTATTTTATTTTTCATTTATTCATTCTACTTTCTTCTTACACTCTTCTTCTTTATTTATACTAGTTTGTGTTTCTCACCATTTAATTAATCTAAAACAACTGATTATGTTTGTGTTAAAAAAAGAGTAGATAAACAATAAGTTCAATAAAAAGAACCATTTCAAATTGAAAAAAAAGAATAAAAAGGAGTTGTAATGAAAGAAAGTGTTTAGTTGTTAATAAGATTAATTAAACTACAACAAAGTAATACATAGACTCATTTATTAAGAGTAACATTGTTAAAAAGTAGTATAATCAATAAAAGATATTCAAAATAAAAGATTCATTCAATTTTATTGTTATAAATTATAAATAACTGCTTTTTAACAAGAATATATTTTTAATGAAACGAAAAATGTTTTAAAAAATAAACTTAAAAACAAGAGAAAAAAAAAAAGCAGAATGGAAACTATCTTTGATAGTGTTACTATTATTTTAATAGTTATTGGAATTGGTATTGTAATATACTATGGATATATTCATTTCGCACAAAAGAAAGAAACTATAAATATAAAGCATCAAATCTTTGAAGTAGAAAAAAACAAACGAAGAATTCAACGAGAAATAACAGTACAAAGAAATTATTTAAATCATTTAATGAAACAAGCCAAAAAAACAATAGAAAAAGAGAAGAGGGATGAAGCACAAGGATTAGTACCCTCGAAAGAAATTGCACAAAACATTATTTTTACACGCAGAAATATTAATTCATTTGAGAGAAAAGTTAAAGAAATTGATGAGTTAATAAAAGAGATGAAAAAGGCTAAAAGTAATAAAGACAATGAAGAAAAACTCATAGATATTAATAAAAAATATAAAGAACTTAACAAACAAAGTTATGGTCAAGAGAGTCAAAAAATAATCAATAATTTCAATAACACCAAAAATGAATTAGAAATTAATGAAAATGAAATTGAAGACTTATTAAATGAATTAAATGAAGAATCAAAAACTCATATCAAACAACGTATAATTAATTGATTAAATGTTATTTGAAAGAAACAATAACAATACTATTAAAAAAATCAATCAAAAATATTTTATGTGTTAATTAATTGGTTCTTCTTCTTCCATTTGCATAGTTTCATCTTCACCAATACTTTCTAATTCTTCAAATTTACCATCTTGAATAATACTTAACACTCTTATTTCAAATACAGCCATTTTAATATCAAAATATTCTAATAATCTAGCAGCTTGTGGTGAAAGTTTTTGTCCTTTTCTGCAAACAACATATTCTTCTTTACATGATAATATTCCATCTTTTAATTCAACAGGTAAAAGATTCTTTCTTAAATGAAGTTCAAGTGAACCTTCAAATGGTAATGGTCCTTCAGGAACTACAAAGTCCATTGTAGCAATACTTCCTGAACGTGCAAAATCATCATGGATTTGAGTTTTAAAATAAGCTAAAATTTCTTCTTTCTTTTTATTAGTAAAACACAATCCACATGTACCTTTTAATCTTTCTGCAATAAAATGATATCCTGGTTTAATTTCATCTTGTTCAGTTCTTCCTAATGCAACTTGCATAACTTTATTACTACCAAAGAAAAATATAGAATCTCTCCAATCTTTTCTAATAATATTCATAAACTTTGATCTAAGAACTGGTGTATAAAAAATAAAGACAGTACTATATTTTTGAGCAGCTTCTTGTATATTAGTGATTAATCGATTTTTAATTTCTTTTTTAGCAACTCTTCGTCCTTGTTGTTCTCTTGACATTAAAGAAATTAAATCTTCTTTTCATTTTTTTTTTGATATTCAAAAAAAAAACCCTATTCTATTTTTAAAATAACAAAAAAAAAATAACAAATAATAAAAAAGTTAAATTAGAATACAAGAAGAAATGTTGAAGTTAATAAACAGAATATAAAGAAAAGTCAGTAACTGGAGTAAAAGCACTTGGGAGTTGTTGATGATACAATTCTTCAGATTTTTCAATTACTTCACTATATTCTTTTACAGAATGTTTTACATGAAAAGTAATATGTTTTTTAAGATCATGTTTTCTTTTAAAAGCTTTACAACAACCAACGAAAGGACAATGAAATGGCTTTTCATCTGAATGAACTTTTTCATGAACTTTTAGATCAGAATGACGAGCAAAATGTTTATGACAAATAAGACATTCATAAGGTTTTTCACCAGTGTGAACTCTCATATGAACATTACAATCATGTTTTCTTAAGAATTTCATACCACAAATATTACATGAAAAAGGTTTTTTTCCAGAATGAGTTTGCATATGAACACTAAGACATTTTTTAGTATAAAATGATTTTCCACAACCAGGATGTGGACATATTAAATTTCCATGTTTAATTTCTTGAAAACATGAAGTAAAGATACTATTAACTGTAGATTGAATATCATTACTTTGCATTGAATTATTAATGTGTTCAGTTCTATATCTTAAATTTATTATAGAACAGACACTATTTGATGTCTGTGATTTTGTCTGCTTTATTTTGATTGGTTAATTCTTTGGCTTTGAAGTAGAACACTTTTTTTAGAATCTTTTGTTTTTAGTTTTAATTCATAGTTGAAAAATGTCTTTTTGTCTGTTGATTTCTCATGTCGTTTATGTCAAAATATTATTTCTTTATTATTTGTTTTTTGTTAGAATAGAATAAAATAGAACAAAGTGTCTGTGTATTAAAGATTTTGGCTGTTTAAATAACAAAAATACCTTTGATATTTTTGGTATTTTGTTCCTATTTACTTTTAACTTATAATTTATGTTTTGTATATCAAATAATCGTTTATTTATTTTAATGAATACTTTTCTCTATTTCTTCATAAAATTATATTTCTAGTTTTCCCCATGTTTCACTTTAAGACTATAAGTGCTACTACTTGTTCTTATAAGTGATGTTGTTCCTTTTATTTCTTTCATTTTAGTATTAGTAAAATTCATCAACATTAAAAGTATCTTATCTTCATATTCCATAACTGTCCAAGTGTCATTTGTTCCTTTGGCATGACAAACATACCTTTCTTTTTGTTTCCAAGCACTATATTTATCTACACTTTGATACCTTCTAATAGACCATTTTCTTCTACTATTCTCCATTGACCAATTCTTTTTCTATTTTTCTCATCAAACTCAGTGACTACTCCAGTAATTCTTAATTTAACTATTCGAGTAACTGTTGAAAATGATAATGCCGTCTTTTTCATTGTACTTTCAAAATTCTTTTCATTCTATCTATTAACAATTTGACACTTCCTTGCTCTTTGTTTGATTCATTCAATAAAAGACTCTGGTTAAGGACCATAAGTAGTAATATCATCACCAGATGCTTAAGAAAGTATTCTTAGTGTATTAGTAATTGATGATATCATTCCAAGTATTCCAGTAGATAATTTATTCATAGCTTCAGTAAAAGAGTCTGGTTTCAAAACAGAGGATAAAGATGGTGAAAGAAATTTGAATTTTAATTAGTTTATGTCTCAAACAAAGAGGAGAAATATATGTCTAAAGTTAAGAATTTTTATTATTCCTCATTTTATTTGGTTTGTAATTATTTTTTATTGAAGATAGCAGAATTACATACCTTAATTTGTTTTTTTACTACTAGATTCAATTATTTTTTTGAGAAACTATTGTATTGACGAATTCTTTTATGTTTTTTATGTTGTCTATACTTTTTATTGTATCTTTTATACCCATTTCTTCAATACAATTACCTTAAAATGAAAGTAGTTTGACAGATAGAAATATCTCTTAAAAAGAGTATGAATAAAAAAGAGGTAACTTAATTTTCCTTCTTGTCTTCTGGTGTTGAAGTAGGAATTTCTTTATGACCTTCACAACAATTACATTCATTGCAATTACATTCACTTTCTAATGTAGTGTGATTGTTCTCATTACAAGAACATTGTTTGTGGTCATGTTGTTGACAACCAGAACAATTTGATGGGTGTTCAGGTTCAGCATCAGTAATTGCGAAACAAGAGTGTGCACGAATAATTATAACAGCGATTACTAAAGGAAGAAGGAACGATAAGAAACAATCGTTAAAATAAGCAGTAATAGAAGCAGAAACATATCCGATGCAAATGGCTATGAAAGAAGGAGGGAATTCTTGAGGAAGGTTTATAGGGATAGAGATATTTAATTTAGTACATACTTTGTAAATGATTATTGGAATAGCTTGCATTAATAAAAGAAGAAAAGTGAAAGGTTTGAATAAACTAAAATTATTACGAATACTACACTATTAAAAAATAATAACAATAAGCCAACAAACATTCCAATGAACACACAAAGACCGCAAAGCATAACATAAAGAAATCTGAAATTATAAATATTAACTTTTGTTCTTAAATTCATTATAGCAGTATCACTGAACATTCCATATTTTGTTTGTTTTAATAAATCTAATTCATAATAAACTTCCTGCATAAAAGAATCCATTGAAGTTCTGATATCTTCCATTTTGAAATGAATGGTTTTTTTTTGATTTTTTTACTTTTTTGATTTAGATTATCAATAATGAAAAGATTAAACTAAAAAATATATCGCTTCATTCTTATCCTAATTTATGCAAACAATTACTTGGAAACAAGGTCTTGAAGAATTAAAAGGAATGTTCCCAAATATTGATTCAAAACTAATAGAACAAACGTTACGTGATAATGGTGGACATATGGAACAAACGATTGATATCTTGTTAAGTTTCACAGATAATACACCTACACAAAATCAAAAGTTTGTCTATTAGTTAAACAGTTTTAATATATCAAAAAACTAAATTCATGTTATTAGTGATGAAGAAATTATTAATACAAATAAAGATGAGATTAGTGATGAAGAGTTAGCTCAACGTATTCAACAACATGAATTTAATATGTACAAATCATTAGGAGGAAGAAAAACTATGGACCAATTTTTAAAAGATTTAGAGAATCCAAATCATTCTAATTCTAAACAAAATCAAGAAGTTAAATCTTTTTGGAATCAACTAAGTACAAGTGCACAAAATGTATTTAAAGAAATGTTCAAAACAAAAGGTCAGTATCAGTTTGTTTTACATTTTATTTTAGAGTAAAATCTCTATATTATTCTAACTATTTTAGAGAATTACCTGAAAATGAGCCAACTGAAGAAGAATGTTTGTTTATTATTATTCTTTTTGTTTTAGTGTAAGAATTTTAGAATAAAATGCTTATGAGTGATAGCTAAGAAAGACCGATAAGATAATATTTCTCTTCCATATTTACTTAAATACAATTTAATTTTCACTTCAACTTGTTAATTTTTATGTTCTTTCATCAAAAAAGAAAATAAAAAATCTCCAAAAATAAAAAGAAAAAAAGAACTTAAAATTATTTTATAATAAAGAGAAAGAGTATGAGTCAAAGGAATCGTACAACATTAAGAGATAATCCAAGTGGTTCAAAGAAGTTAATGTCAAAAATAGAAGAGAAAGAAGACATTGGATTTTTTGTAGGAAGTGATTATACAAATTTTATTAAATCAAGATTTAAGACAGAAGAATCCATTTGTTGTGTATTTGCATTAAAAGAAAAAGTAATAGTAGGGTCAACAGTAGGAAGAGTTTATTTCTTTAATAAAGGAGAAGAAGATATTGGAGGAGAAGGTATTTTTAATTCAACTCCAGTTCTTGGATTTGCATTAGACTCACGTGGACATGTTTTAGTTATTCAAGAGAATAATATTCATGGAATTGATCCAAATGATGGAAGAATTGAAATGAATTTAGTTTCATTTACTGATGAACAAGTTACAAATACAACATTTGATCAACAAAACCCATTACAATATTGTTGTGTTATTAAACATTTAAAAACTAAACAAATTACTTTAAAAATTACATTAATTAGAAGTCCAGGAGAACGACCGACCATATTAACTGATAGTTTACAAAGAAGTTATATTAATCAAATGAAATGGATTGGAAATACTGTTGTAATTGTTATGTCAAATAGAAGTGGGGATGGAATGAATAGAGATATTATTGTTTATTTTTATGATATTAATGCTAGACAACATTCAATTATACCTTTTAATAATATTGAAGTTAAAAGTAGTACTTCTTGTTGTGTTTCACCATTAAATAAAGAGGTAATGGTTTTAACATGGGGAAATTTAAAAGGAGAATTTCGTGCAGTTCCTGGATATGATGTTTCAACTCCAAAAACTTTTAATGCACCAACTGCATTTTTTGTTCCACGAGGAGTTAATGAAATTTATAGTCTTGGATTGTTAAATGATAAAATGGTAGGATTTGTAAATTGTAAAGATCAAGGAGCAAAATATGGACTTAAAGTTCTTGTAAGCAATGATGAACGAGATAAAAAAGCAACATTTTCATTGATGCCAAAAGAAGATATTAGTGAATATTTTGAGTTATATTCTGATAGAACAGAAGAAGAAGAATATCTTTGGTTATTAACAGAAAGGAAATTTATGAAAGTTAAAATGTTACAAGATAGAGATATTATTGATATATGGAAAGAACAAAAAAGATATGATCTAATTCTTGAAAGAGTTATTAAAAAAGATATGGATATTGATAAAGAAGAATTAATTGAGTATTGGCAAGATTTAATCTTATCAGTTATGGATGGGGCAGTAACTGAGGTAGAAGAACCATATACCTTAATGGAAGAATACTTAGAATCAGATTCAATGGAATTAGAAGATTTCTTAGAAATTACTCAAAACTTTCATATTGAACCAAAAGAGTTTAGAGAAAAAGATAGTAAAGAAGCAAGGGAATATGAAAAATTAAAAGTCCAAATGAAAGATGGTTTGAATAAAACATTATTATTCTTTACTAATTACACGATTTTCTCATTAAAAAAAAATGAACAAAGATATTATGAATTAGTTAGTACATATAACACATTTTATAATAATAGAGATAGAAATTACGCATATGAAGACGCATACAATACATTAGTTACATACTCTAAATTAAAAGAAACAATTCAAAGAGTAAAAAGTGTAGATAAATATGATAAAATTCCACAAGATGAATTATTAGGATTAATGAGAAAAGAATTAAACAAATATAAAACATTACTTCTTTATCCAAATTTACCAACAAATTTTCAAGAAATTATATCAAATAACACAATTGGATCAAAATTTGATGGAAGAAATGAAGATAGAATTCGATTTCAAAAATTTAATATGCATTATAAAATAGAAAATTGTATGTTTGAAGAAGCACAAAATTTAATTTTTAAATTAAAAGACCCAAATTTATTTAAAATGTTTTTAGAAAAGCTTCAATCAATTTATGATTTACATATGCAAAATATTATTGAAAAAGAAAAACAAGAAATGGAAATTAAAAAAGTATTTGAAAAAGAAGGATATAATCTTAAAAACCTTAGTGATGTTTATGTAAATGAAGTAGGAGAAGTTATGAAAAAAGCAGAATCAAATCCATTATTACAATTTAGATTATATCAACTATTATTTAAATTATTAAGTGAAAAAAAATATCCTATTGATAATTATGAATCTAGAGTCGGTGGTGGGATTCCTAAATTATTATTTGAAGCTACAAAAGGAAGTAAAAATACTCATGAAATGCAACAAATTGTGATTGCTTTTATTTATTCTACAATTAGTGATTATAATAATTTATTCGATTTTAGAAAAAATGAAAAAGCTGTTGAATTAATTACAAGTGTTATGGAAATCGTTAATTCTTTAGAAGTCTCTATTTCTCGTGAAGTTTTAAAAGCTCAAAATTATGGAAATAAAAAATGGATTATTACTTTATTGTATGAATTATCTGTTTATAAAGATCAATTATTAAATGTCTTAGATGAAGATGAAACAATGGAAACTTTTGCTCAACCTGTTTGTGATGGTTTAAGAAATGCTTCTTTAAGATATGAAGCCTTATTATCTGCTCAACACATTGCCCATCAACAACAATTTGATTATGTCAATAGTATTATCGATAATTCTAAAAAAGGAATAATAATAGAAGATATAGAAGGAAAGTGTTGTAGTTGTAATAGGTCTGTTGTAAAAAGAACTTTATTTAAATGTGGTCATTGTATGTGTGATCAGTGTTTGGAAAAACTTACTGCTAAAGGAGCAAATATTGAATGTTCTGTTTGTAAGAATCAAAGATTAACAGAACAAAAACAAAAATCTCTTTCTTCTATTCAAACCCCTCATCATAAAAAGAAGTAATTTATTATTTCATTATTTTTTTATATTAACAAAATCAATTAATTAAAAAGGAATAATAATAAGTAATAAATATATTTATTATTGTATTATTTTCTAATGTTTAATTGTTTATTTTTCTTTGTTTTTATGTGTTTAATATTACAAAAATTATCTTTTAAATATTTTATTAAAATAAAATTCAATTTATTTGTTAGTGTTATGTATTTGTTGTTCAAATTTTTTAATCAACGAATGATAAATATGTCTTCTTTGTATTTTGTTACTATGGTTATTATTTTATTTTTCTTTAAACGTCCACTGAATGAACTTTTCATTTATAGTTGTATATTTTATTTCTATAAATAAAACTTTATATTTACTCGGGAGTATTATTCTCTTTATTCTAAAAGAGCCATTAGTTGTGTTTAACTTCACTTTGTTTTCATGTGATACCTTACAATGAATTATTCTTATTTAAAGTAATAAGGTATTTATATAATGTTTTAAGAATTTAGAGTTTATCTCATCTTGGTTTTTTTTAGAGATAATATGTTTTGTATCTTTCTAGTTTATGCCAATGTATTATAACCCATTTTGAAAATAATTAATGAAAGTAAAAGGAAATAAAGTGTTAAAGAGAATAGTGTAAAGGTTCTAAAACGAATAAGAGAATTATGAAGGAGATAAAATATCACAACAATTAAAGAACTAATATGGAACAGAGTTATTCAAACTATTTAATAGAATAAAGAAGAATGGAATGAATGTAAACGTGTAGAATATATGAGTGTGATAGAGTAATGGTAATAGAATTAAATTCAATACTTAAACATTATGAATAATACATAAAATTAAAAAGTTATACTTAATTATACAATACAAGTATTTAAAACATATAAACCATTTACATATATTTTTATTCCAAAACTATCATTTACTCGTTATTTTTATTAATTATATATCATTGGTTTTTAATAAAAATGAAATATACAAGAAATGATATTTAAGTGATAACACTATCATATTAATATAAAAACTCCAAATAATAAAGAAATAGAGCAATTTGTTTCATATAATTGCATTTATTGAATTCAATATCACTTTTCAATTCAAAAAGAATCAATATTATTTTATTATGTTGGTAATACCAAATTATGTACTATTTCATTTTCTTCATATTTATCATTATTATTAAATCATGAACTGCGTTCAATACTGTATTGTTCTTTATTTATAAACACTAAATATTATAATAACCACTTATTAAATCAAAAATAAACAATCAAAGAAAAAAAAGGAGATTAAATTAAGAGAGATGAAAAGAATAAAAAGCAGGAACAAATACCATGACACTCTTTATTGTTTCATCTAAGAAGACTAGAGCACTTTGAATGTGATATTGTACTAGTCAATGACTAATCCATATTTAAGATCATTATATTGTGTTTTTGAAAAATCCCTATACCTCAACAATCCAATTTTCATGTTATTTTTTTTTTGATAATGATTTCTATTTGTTGTGAAATATGAAAAACTTGTCATTGGAATTGATTTTAAGAGGGGGTAGAAAGCATTATTTATATGAAAATTAATTATTTAACATAATTCGAAGGGAAAAAACCAATATTCCCTTGACACTCTCCTTGCCACCAATCACCTTTTTTATTAAGAATCTTAATTTTATCTCCTTCTTTAAGTGAGAGTTCAGTTTCATTTTCTGCGGAATATGCAAATTGACAAACTACAATTTCTTCATGGTCTTCTTCACTGTTCATTGGTTGATGTATCACTGTTTCTACGATTTCATCTTTACATTCTTTTAATTCATTAATACGTTGATTAGACTCATTAATCATAGATTGATCATTTGGTGTATATACTGGTTGTGTGTTGATATCACCATTACTCATGTTTCTAAGCATTTCTGGGACTTTTTCCCAAGATAGATTTAAACAATTAATATATTCTGTAAATCCTAACATGATAGAACGTTCTACTTTTTCATTCATCTCATCTATTCTTTCATTCAATTTATTAATATCATTAATTAATTCATTTCTTAATAATATATATGATTCTTTTGATGCTTTGTATTTTGCTTCTGCTTCATTAAGTCCATTTTGTTTCTTCAATCCTTTCTTTTTAATTTGTTCTAATTTTTCAAAGTGTCTGTCCATATCTATCTTTCTATTTTTCAGTATACTTATTCTTTTATAATAAACATTCCATTGTTCAATAAATATTTTCATAGGTTCTATAACTTGACAATATAAAATTTCTTTAATATGATTTCCTGCATCTTCCATTGAATCAAAGACATTAATCATTTTCTCACTTTCTTCTTTAGCAATGGATTTTTCTCCAGAACAATCATGTAAAATTCGAAATACCTCTTTTGGAAATCCAATTAAATTCTCTGCACATACTGGAATTTTACTTACTCGTTCAATAATTTGTTTGATTCTCTTTTCATTCTCAATAATTTGTTTATTTAATATTTTAAAATCTTTATCAACTGTTTTCTTACTGATTCCTACTGTTGATTTAAAGTGAAATAACCCTCTTTTAATATTCATATTTCTTAATCTTTTCTTCTTCATATCTTTATATATTCTTACCTTTTCCCTTCACATTCACTTGTCATTAATCATTTGAGATATTTTAAAAAGAGTTGTTTCTTTCATTCAATGTTTTTTAGTTGTATTCTATTCATAATTTGACTGTTGGTTTATCATTTAAATTCAAATAAAATTAATAAATATCATGACTCTTATGAAAGTGAGAATATTAATTTGATGAGAACAAAAAGAATAAAAGATGATAACGGTTCGTTTGTAGTTGAAGGACTTATTAATGGAGTTTTATCCTAATCTCATTTGTTCTCTTCATATCTTCAAAAAAATAAAAAAGAACTAAAAAGAAAATATAAAGAATAATATGTGTGATTGCCCTACTATTAATGGACACAATGCAATGCAATCGTTTGTGTATCAAAATTTGTTTCGAGTTTGTTTGTACTCTGTCTTTGATGAAATATCAATTTGGGCAGGTTATATAAAAGTGATATTAAACATTTTATTAATTGGAAACTATTTGTCTAAACTAAGTAATCAGCAACAAGTTAAACATGTGTATTCAGTTGGAATACTTTTGTTTGTAGTCTTGGGTTTGTAGTTCAAGTTATTTAAATGATAAAGGATAAAATTACTTATAGAAAATGACTAGATTTCCATGGAGTGATTTATAGCATTTCCAATGGGTTTTTTGCAACACAAACACTCACAAGCATTCTTAAATTTGTATCAACAGTGTCATACTATATTATTGTCATTAACAAAACAAAGACCAACCAATGGCGTTATTTATTCATAAGTTTCTTTATTTGTACTTTGATATGGTGGTATTCTTCTCCTTCTCTTAAATCATGCTTTGTTAGACATCTCCCAACATCACTTTTTTCATCTATTTATGTTGTCATTGGTGCAATTGTATTTAACATAAGAAACGAAATTGAACAAATCATTTGGCTTTTCACTACTAATTTAAATAATGTCTCCTTTTTCAACTTAAATCTTCATATCTTCGTTTATCTCCTTAAGTTCGTTACTGTCATTTTTTATGGTGCCCATCCATCTTCTGTGCTATGGTATTGTCTATTACTTGTTTATGTTTCAGGAACATTTCTTCCATTAGTTATATTCTTTATTATGTATTTACGAAAACTTCTTTGTTATTCTAGAATTAAAAAAAACTATAGATATGAAAATATCACAAGAAATGAAGAAAATTATCAAGGAGATAAATTCAAGAATTATTAGAACCTTTTTTCTCTGTTTTTGTTGGAAGATTAAAAGAGTTTATTATTATTCATTTTATGAGTATTAATCTTGTTTAGTTTTTGGTTATCAAAACCTTTTTATCCTAAAAGTTAATAAATTAATTTTCTTCATCTTCTTCTTTTATTGCCAATCCAAATTTTTTTCCCCACTCAAAACACTCTTCTAATTTTTCCTGTCCTGGCTGGAGACGACAGGACAATGGCTCAACTGGTTGTTTTGCTTTTAACTGTCGAAGTCTTGCTGAAAGATTCCCAACACCTTCTCCACTCCATCCATGTGACCCAAAGCATTGAATAAACCTTTGACAATGAAGATAAGGATTTAAGTTACAGGCTATTGTTAGTATTGAGGGAAGAGCATCTCCAACAATTGTTGGAGTCCCAAGTAATAAACCTTTACAATTATCGAAATCTTTTAAGACTTCTTCACTACTAGTATTTTCAATATTGTGCATTGATACCTCAATACCAACAGATTTAATTCCAGATGCAATTGTATTTGCCATAGTTTCTGTGTATCCATAAACTGATCCATAAGCAATGACAACTTTATTTTTTAATGACGGGGGTTGAGCCCATTGACGCCAAAGGTCAACACGTTCTCGTATATAACCACGAAGTATTGGACCATGACTACAACAAATAGCTTTACAATTTTTTAAATCGAATCCAGGTTGATGTTCAAGCATTTGAATACCTTTTAAAACAAATCTTTTAAAAGGACCAAAGACTGAGTTGAAATAGTCATAACTTATCTGAAGATATTGATCTTTTCTATCAATAATTAAATCGTCAAACATTCGTTCATCAGCAAAATGAGTACTAAACATATCACATGTAACTAAAACATTCATTTCTTCTATTAACGTGATCATTGTGTCAGGCCAATGTAAAAACGGCTGATAAATAAACTTAAGATGAATATCTCCCAGATTTAGTTGTTTAGTTTTGACAGTATTAATTGTTTTTATATCATCTCTAATGTGACCAATAAATTGTAGATTATTTAGAGCAGCAGTAGAAGCCACTACTGTTGCATTAGGATATCTTTTAAGTATAGGACTTAATGAACCACTGTGATCAGGTTCACTATGGTCCACTATGATATAATCAATACGATCTTCTTTACCAATAACTTGTTCTATTTTATCTAAACATTCATTTGCAAATTCTTGCTTAACTGTTTCAAACAAAACATTTCCTTTTTGAGTTTTAAGAAGGTATGAATTATAAGTAGACCCATAAGGTGCAGGATATAACACATCATATTTCTTTAGTTCATAATCCATTACACCTACCCAATACAAACCAGGAAGTACTTCTAATACTTTACTTGTCATTTAATGTTTGTTAGTTCTCATATTCTTTTTTCGTTAAGAAGGACTCAAGTGGAGAAAACATATGAAATGATTTTCTCGTTTCCTTTTTGGTAGTTTTTAGGGTAGTTCAGTTTTCTATATTTCGATACTTTTAACTCACACAAATAGTTTTTCCTTTTCATTTTAATATTCAAAAGTTAATAAATGGATAAAGAATATTTCTTAAATACTGATAACCTAAATACTTAATTACAGTACTATGATTTGAAGTTGTGAATAAATTACTTTGATTAGATAAAAAAAATTATTGAACATTTATTATAAATATGGAATTATTTTTACTTATTTTTAATTCTTTGTTTTATGAAAAGTATATTAAATGATTTGAAATTAAACACTATTATTTTATTTATTCAATGAATAAAAACACATTTTATTTTTGACAGAGTCAATTAAAGTACCTAAAAAATATATTTTTAATCAATTAGAATAAAGATATGTTTAGTTTATCAAAATGAATAAGTTTCAATGAAAACATAAATTAGTCAAATATCTCTTAATACAATAATTGTTTTTTAGCTTGTTATATCTTTTGAATACTAATTTAAGAAGAAATAAAGAGGTTAATTTATTGAGAAAATTAATTCTTTTCTTTTATATACATATATTCCATTTTCATTATTTTTTAATTTAAATATTCTTTTCATCAATTTAGAAGTGTTAATTCTATCTTTTAATAATGAAGTATGTTATTCTTTATTTATTTCTCAATAATTAATAGAAAAATATAATTTATTTTTAGAGTAACAGTCAGTAAAGAAAGATAATAGTATCATAAAATAACAAATATTGATAAGCGAATAAATTCAAATATTATTTTGTTTATTGTTTATTTATAGAGTGTTTCCGTTTCATTTTAAAGTATCCATACAATATTTTAATAAACTTGTTATTGTCATGAACCTCTATTCGGTATTTATTCTTTTTTCGTATTTCATTTCTTCTCTGAAAAATGAAGAACCCTTTTTATTATTTAGAAATAATATTATTTGGTCATATTTCATTTTATTTTCTTTATTTCTTAAATAGAATAATTATCAATTCCAATATTGATTGCAAATAAAATCATAGTATTATTTCTATCTCTTATTAACTAATATGAAAGATTTATGAATAACTTTTTATCAATTGTAATATATTTATACTCTAAAAAAAAAGATGTACTAATAGAATTATATTAAATCATTTTACAGCAGTATCTAATCTAACTTCTAGTGTATTCAAAGTAATAAAATTCAAGATTGAATTGTCTAAAATAATAGAATAAAATTATCATTGACTCGATTTATAATGGTTTTATACTTATTCTGTTTAATAAGATAGTTTTTTTCTTATTCAAATGGGTTTGACCATTAAACTCAATAATTTGTACTAAAAACACTTTTTCATCTACAAATCAAGACATTTCAAATAGTTGTAAAAAACATTAACTAAAAGAAATAGATACCTCTAACTATCATATAAAAGTAGTCTGTTGAATTACTTTTTTTTCATGTCCATTTTTAACTGTATTGAGGTGATAACTTCAATGGTTCGCTTCAATAATGTTTTAATAATAATAAAGTCCTATTAGTTATTTTTTAAACGACCAAATACTCAACAATAATTTAAGTTTGTTCCTACTTTGTTTTACATAAATAAAATGTACTAGAACATACCTTTTATGTAGTAACGAAAAAATAGATATTTAAACAACAACAAAAACATAATCAAGATTTATAAAGAGTGTGAATTATATAATTTATATTCTCTTTTTCTCAATATACAAAAATTAGTTATTAATTAATCAAAAGGATAAAAAGGTAAACTAAATAATTCCAAAATGAGTAATAATGAATTAATGAAAGAAGACACTAAAAAATCAATTAATTTAAGCAAAGATTGGAATGAATTTTTGTTTCTTTGCATGTATCAAAGAATCCGTAGATGACGATTGCTTTTCATCTACACAATCTCGAGCTTTCAACCCTTTATAATAACCGTCAGTCGTACATTCATGATAATCTGATCCACAAAATGCTCTAACATTATCATCATCAACTTCATAACACATTTCTTTAAATGCATATCTGTTATAATTCAGATTAATTTGATGTTCATAACAATAACCCCAATCACTACAACCACTAGGTACATAATATTCAGCAATAAAAGCTTTAACATAAGGTTTATGTCTTGAATCAGTGAAAGGATAATCATAAATATAAACGAATCTTTGATTATTAGTAGTTTCTAATAAAGGTTCTTTTCTTCTCCAAATGATTAAAGGAGTTTCAAATTTAGTATTATAAAGCATATCCATAACTCTATTTGGATATGAATATAAACAAATCATTTGATAAGATGCAAACTCCCAATATTGAAGTTCTCTTTCGGTACTTAATTTTCTAACTCTCATTTGTTGTGTGTTGTAAGCATTAATATCAATACGTAACATAGAAAGTGTTTCAAATTCTACATCAAGTACATATCTATCAGAAGTATCTTTTAATTTCTCAAAATTATTATTTGGGTCATATTCCATCGCAAATAATACTCTACAACATGTTTCACATTTATCTCTTTGAATAATTTCTTGAACAACTACCTTTTCATCAATAAGTGCATTAATATGTATTACAAGTAATACACAAAGAATGAATCTCATGTTATACTGTTTGAAGTTCTTCTATCCTTTATTTTTCTTAGTTCTTGATACTAAGAAGTTTGTTGAGTTGAATTTCTTTTATTTGAATCTATTTCTTTTTTTATAATTTCTTTTATTACTTTTTTACTATTATTCTTCCTTTTGAAATTTCTTTTTTACTTTTCGACTTTTTTCATTTGTATTCTTTTCTTCCTTTAGGAACTTAATTCATTATTGATTTATTCTATTTTTTGATTTTTCTCCTCAAAATAACTGAAAAGACATACACTTCATGAAAATATTAACTACTCAACCAGATCAATTACAACCCACTTGAAACCTCTTAATCTCTTTTTTTCATACAGAAGTATCATAGAGATAATCACAAAACAAAGCCATTAACTGAAAAAGGTATTTACAAGAACAAAGACAGAGAAATGAATGGTTAGATAAAAGTTAAATGGATAAGAAGAAAGAAGAAGAAAATAAAAAATTTAATAAAAAGAAAAAAGAAGTTAAAATAAAAGTCATTTTTTAATAAATTTTAAGAGAAATTGTTCAATAGTTTTAGAGTCACATTGACGACGAAGACCATCTTTAGGACGAATGAAAGAAGAAGAAAAGTATTTGATAAGATCTTCAGGATGAAGAGAAGGATTTTGACGAAGAATTTCTTTAATAAAAGATAGTAAATAAATAAAAAGATTGTAATGAGAGTTTGGAATAGAAGCATTGTTTTTAATAAAGAATTTATCTATTTCGATATCAGATTTATCAGCGGATAAAATAACATGTTCATACAAAGAAGAAGGAATAATAGAATCATTGAGATTTAATAAAAAGATTAATAAGAATTCTAAAACACGATGATAATTTAAAGAAGGATTAAAAGAAGAATGAGTATCAAGAGAATGTAATATTTCATAATAAACAGGAACATAATCAATTGAAGGTTGTGATAAAGAAATAAAATTAGGGTCATGAATAAAAGGAAGTACATAATTACAAAGTCTCCAAATTTCTTTAGGAATAATTAAAGGAGTATAAGCTTGAGGTTGAGGTAAAATATAGCCATTAGGATGTAGATTTAAATCATCAATAGATTTAGCAAAAGAAGTTTGTGATAAAATTAATTTAAAAGTAATAAATAAACTTTTTCCACCTTGAATATCAAGAATCAAATTATAATCAAAAGATCCATTTTTAAATAAATTTAATGTATCAATAAAATTAAATTGAAAATAAAATGTAATACTTTTAGGTTCAAAATCATTTTTAGATATTTCTAAATGTTGTGGTTCAATATGTAACCAATCAGGATATCCACCAGCTTTTTCTAATTGATGGTCTCTAAAAAGAATTGATGTTTTAGCATTTCCATCATTTTGAACAAGTAATGTAATTTCTGTTTGTTTATATGGATAAATTTTTAATATAAATTCTTGTTTATTAATTTTAACTGATGGTCTAACAATTCTAAGTAATTTATTTTCCATTTCAATAAGTTCTTTTTCAATTAACATATATTTTTCTTTTATAATACTTCTTGTTTCAACACTATAACATCCAATAACTGGTTTATGATCTGATTCAATTGCTTCTTTTTTACTTGTATATTTTAAACATTTAATTTTTAATCCTTTACATTCTTTATATAATATTCTATCACAATATGCTGGTTTTCTTTTTTCTGAATAATTTTGTGTATTTGGATTAAATTTATATGTTGGTTCAAAATTAATTTCTGCTTCTTTAAATTTTCCTAATAATTCATTATGTTTTTGTTGTACCTTTAATTGATCTTTTTCTTTTATTATTTCTGTTATATTTCCTTCAATAATTTTTTCTCTAATAATACTATCTTCTTCATCAATTCTATAATTTAAATCTCCCATCCAAAATATAATATCATGTTCTTCAATTTTATTACAAATCACTTCTTCTTCTCCTTCTTCTATTCTTATTAATTTAATATTATTATAAATATCACTAAAATTCCTATTTCTTTTATTAATTTCTGGTTGATGTGCTGCAAGATGTGATCCAACTAAACAAATTGTTGTATCATATATTTTAAATGAAATTCCAATTCCTCCTTTATTTGCCATTCCCATAGTTCCAACTGCTTCATATCCACTTGCAAAATATTTAATTTTATTTTCTATTTCTTTTCTAACAAATCCAATTATACAAACTCCTCCTAATTGTGAAACATTTACTTGTTTATATTCTTCTTTATAAATATTTTTTAATGCTTCTTGAATATTTTGTGCTAAATTCCTTGCTTTTAAACTTAATGTATTTCCTTTAAGAAATCCTGAAACACTCATATCAATTTCTTCAACAACTATAAATATCATATCAATTTGATATTCTTTTATTTCTAAAATATATTCAAATGTCTCTTTTTTAATTATTTTTTCATTAATATTATATGTTACTAATAACATATTTACATCTTTTCTTATTGAATATTCATCTCTTCGTTCTTTTATTCTATCATATCTCCAATTTAATGGATCATCTGCATATCTTTCAACTATATATTATTATTATTTATTATCATTTATTATATGTATTAACAAACTTTCTTCTTGAGGAATGTTCATTTCTTTTCCTTTCTTTAATTCTCTTTTGTTTTCTTAGTTTTGTTTTTTTTTTTAATTTTTTTAATTTTTTTTTCTTCTTTTTCTTATTTTTTTTTGTTATTCTTTGGAAAACAATAAACCCAAAAACTAACAAGTTTACTTCATGAACCCGTTATTCCAAAATGAACATCTTTTTGATGAAGCTTGTACAAATTATTTTAGACATCCTAACCAAACACATGTATTAAATGATTATTTAAATAGCCCATTACCAAGTGATTTGATCGATCAATTAGTAAAATTTTTTTCATCAAGAAATATTTATACAACACAATATATTTCACAATTACTTATTCGTCAATTAAATAATCATACATTAAACTATTCATATGATAAACTTATTCATTCATTAGTTCCATATGCATGTATTGTAGGATCACCATATTCAAATTTATATTGTAAATTATTAATAAAAAAATGGAATAAAATGCCAAATATGATGGAACAATCAACGTATGAATTATGTCAAGCATGTGAAAGTAAAATAATTACAGAAGAAGGAAAAGGGATAATGTATTTAATAGGAAATCTTATTAAAGAATTTATTGAAACAAAAGAAAATGATTCAATTACAATTCAAATATTTAAAGAGAAATGTTTATTAAGAATAATTGAAACAATAATTACTATAATTCGATGGATTCAAATAGAAAATATTGAACAAGAAATTAAATGTAAAATTGCATTAGAAACATTAAAAATAGCATTAGAATATCCATTTAGTAATGGATATGAAGAAGAAGAAGATATTATTTTAGAAATTCCAATGGGATATGCATCAATACTTTCAAGTATTGGATTACAAGAAAAAATGATTAGAATGTTTGTTCCAGGAAATCATCTTGAAGCATTAATTGAATGTATGATAACATTAGCAAGTGTTAGAGAGAATTTATTTAGTGGAACAATTCGTGAACAATATAATGAATTTTTAAGTAAATTTGGAGGAATGATTTGTGAAGCAGCAGAAAATGAAAAAATGGCAATTGCAGCAGGGAGGTATTTAGATAGAATGACAAGAACAAGAAGTGTAAAAGCACAATATCATTTAACACAAGCAGCAAAATTAATAAAACGAATTAGTGAAAATTATATAAAACATAAAAATAGTTTATATTATTTATTAATAACATTTGCAAGATGGTCACATAGATTATATGAATGTGGAGAAGAAAAAAGATTTGTTATTGAAACATTAAAAGAAGTTAGTATAAATGTAATTGAAGGAGCATTTAATAATAGTGAAATAATTGAAGAAGAAGATATTGAAGGAATAATGGATGGATTTGGAGAAATATCAAGAATTAATTTAACAATTACAGTAGAAGAAATGATAAAACATATTGAAAAAGTTAAAAAAGAAATAGAAGAAATAATAAAAATGAAAGGAAGTTTACAAAGAATACAAAAAGAATGTGAAAGATTAAGTATTGGAATAGGATTAATAAGTATTATTATAAATCATCAAATAATTAATGGAACAAATGAAACACAAGAAAAATTAGATATTAAATTAATGAAAATAGGAATTGAAATTATTAATAAAGAAATGAATATTATAAAAAATATTCCATTTGGATATGGAATAAAACAAATAGAAATAAATATATTAAGATTTTTTGATAGTATTCGTAATATATTTCTTAATGAAAGTATTTCAAGAACAACAGAAAAATATATAATAGAAATATTAGAAATTCAAAATTTAAATGATTTAATTATTGCAATTATGAATAAAATCATTTTTAATTTACATTATTTTATTGATATTCATTGTGAATCTATTATTAAAGAATCTTTATTTATTATTGAAAAATATTCAAGAAAACAAAAAACTTCAAAAATGTTATTAGAATATGGATTACTTGATAAAATATTAGATAAATCTTTAGTTTGTTTTATTTTTATTATTATTATTTTTTATTATTATTTATTATTAGACTCAAAAATTAACAAAATTATCTATTAATACTAAAAAAATGTTTTTCCAAGCAATTTGTAATTTAATTATAACTATTCCTAAAGTACATTTTTCTGTATTATTAAATAAATTGGAATCTTCTTTTCTTCTTCAATCAAATGATTATGAAAATAAACTACTTTTATATCATTCTTTCTTTTTATCATTACCTCCTGAAAGTATTCATTATCTTGGATTTATTGATTTAGTTCATAAATTATTACCTATCTTTATTAAAAATACATCTTTATCTTTATTTGTTTCTTTCTTATCTGATATTGCAAATATTAAACCTTTTAGATCACTTTATTCTATACAAACTCCTGATGCATTAATATTATATCATGATATTTGTGAATCTTTAATGAAAATATTACCTTCTATTATTGAATTAAATGAAGACGAGATGGTATCTTATTTAGAAGATTGTATCCAATCAATTAATTCTATTTTATCAAGTGATACTATCCCTTTTGGTGCTTTATATGTTTATAATGATCGAACTCATCATGTATTAATGCAAACAATTATTTCTATTTGTATATCACACAAATGGGATTTTGTTAGTCTTTATCCAAAATATACTAAACTGATTTTTACTCTATTTTGTAATATTGGAATGGTATCCTGTGATGACTTCTTTGGTAATCATCTTCATGAAACATTACTATTTTTATTAAACGCTTTACAATCTGGTGAAGAATCTGCTATCCCTGTTTTTGAACAAATTATCTTATTCACTTTTAAAAGTCATCTTCTAAAATCTGTAAGAATCCTCACTACTCCTTCAACAGATCATTCTTTGTTATTGTCTCATCATTTGGATTTAATCAATAAAATCATCGAAATTCTCCTTCAAAGTCTAATTAATGGAAACATGGACTTATACTGTATTTCAAAAGCTTTGTTACCTTCTCTTCTTCTTTATCCTAAAATATATCACCACTTGAAATCTTCTCTTTTACTCAATTACTCAAACTCTCCTGATCTAAATCTAGCTTTCTCCCAACTCGACGCTTCTCTCTCTTCTTCTTGTGATTCTGATGCTTATGATAACTTCTTTAACGCTTGCCAAGTCTTCCAACATACTTCTTTATCTCTGTTCAAATAATAAGAACAAAAATAAAAGATTTGATTGGTTGTACTTTTTATTGAACTAAGCAATTGTTCTATTTACTTTCATTCCATTTTATGTATTACTTTTTAACAATAAATACCTTTTATTCTTACTTTACAATACTATCATACTCAAACTGAAACATTTGTTTTTATTTGTCAATGTAAATTTTTTATTCTTGTTATTGATAAACTCAATTCATTAGAAGATGACATAAACAAAAAATGACAGTAACGAACTTAAGGAGATAAACGAAGATATGAAGATTTAAGTTGAAAAAGGAGACATTATTTAAATTAGTAGTGAAAAGCCAAATGATTTGTTCAATTTCGTTTCTTATGTTAAATATAATTGCACCAATGACAACATAAATAGATGAAAAAAGTGATGTTGGGAGATGTCTAACAAAGCATGATTTAAGAGAAGGAGAAGAATACCACCATATCAAAGTACAAATAAAGAAACTTATGAATAAATAACGCCATTGGTTGGTCTTTGTTTTGTTAATGACAATAATATAGTATGACACTGTTGATACAAATTTAAGAATGCTTGTGAGTGTTTGTGTTGCAAAAAACCCATTGGAAATACTATAAATCACTCCATGGAAATCTAGTCATTTTCTATAAGTAATTTTATCCTTTATCATTTAAATAACTTGAACTACAAACCCAAGACTACAAACAAAAGTATTCCAACTGAATTACACATGTTAAACTTGTTTGCTGATACTTAGTTTAGACAAATAGTTTCCAATTAATAAAATGTTTAATA